CTTTGTGGAGCTGGATGCCCCACGTCCTGCTGTGTAACCACCACCATTTCGAGCCCAACTTACTACTGCGGCACAACCCAGCCTAACCCGACCAGACAGGCCCTGTGGTGCAAGCCCCTCGGAAGGGCAGCCCTTGTCTGTTTCCCCACCATCCCCAGCGCCTGGCACAGTCCACTCAGTAAATGCCTGTTGAAGGAACAAATGAGTGGGTGCAACCTTCCCTTCTAGCGCACAGCCACCACGGAAGATAAAGAGTGTCAGCAAATGGAACGGCGACGAAAGTCTTCCGTGGATTAAGGTTTTGCTTTTCAGTTAATAACTTGGAAGAGACTGTGATTATAACAATTTTCTTAAAAATCTGAGAATCTAAACTCTGGCAGCAACTGAACAATGGAACTGAATGATTCGCTAGGGTTGTGGTCATTGGGGTTTCCATGCACTGTGTACGGGGGGATGTGGATTGTGACGCCCAACCTGGAAATGTCACCTACTCTCCTTGGTAACACATGAGTTGTGACTATCCTTGGCCATTTTATGTTTTGGACAATAGCAAATGTTTGGAAAAGTTGAATCATAATTGTGCAAATATTTTTTTCTAGCCCATTCTTTAATCCGTGTAATGGAAAGAAAAAACAGTAGATTAAATCATGGTGTTGGGGACAGACCAAGTGTTTTTTTTTTAATCGTTATTTTCTTTTGAGTTTAGATCTAGTTTGGAAACAGGATTAGTTCAGAAAAGGTCATATTTGGAGCATTATAAATAAAATAGGTTACATTGTAAATTATGTCATAATAATAATAACAAATAGAAAAGGAAGATGGGAGAGGATGAAGAGATGAAGATGAGAAAGAGGAGGAGAGTTGATTTTGCTTTGCACCCACGCGCTCTGATTCTTCAGTCTGGAAAATGCAGATTGTGTCCGTGGGAACCCTGAGCCTCTCTTCCCTGCAGTGGCTTCCTCGGTCCGGCCCTTTCGCCAGCGCCCTGTGCAGAGGTTCCGAGACAGCTCTGCGATGTCAGGGAGCAGCGGGTGTTCCAGAGCCATGGTGGCCATGACTGGCACTGGGGGACCTTGCCAGGTGACATTGCTTCCTGAACCTCAGTTTCCCAATCTATGAATGGGCTCACACCCTGACTGCATAGGCCCTTGGGGGGCAAGGGGAAGGAGGCAGTGGGTGCCAGCTACGGCTTTCTTCTTCCTCCCACCTCTGGCTGGGGGGCAGCTGCCATTTATCAGAGTGGTGCCTGCGGGGTGAGGACAACCGCTTTGACCGGGACTTCGTCTTTGTTGTCAATACAGTCTAAAACTTCTGAGCTGTTTTATCATTTGGATGAGCTTGTCATCATCTAAAGTAAGGTAATTTCAGACAAGATGATGGCATGGTTGTGGGGAGGTCCAGAGCAACAAAACTCCAATGATGTCGTCTAAACTCATTCATTTATTCATTTACTCGACAAATATTTACAGAGCACCTACTATGTGCGCTCTAGGCTCTGGACATATAAAGTGAATACAATGGACAAAGGTCAATGCTTGCCTTTGAATGGGGAGGGACGGCAATAAGCAGAAAAGCAAACAAGGTAATGAGGGATTAGAGCTACATTTTGGAGAAAACAAGGCGGTGTAAGAGAGAGGTGAGCAGGAAAGGCAAGGCTTAGGACAGGCGTGAGAAGGATCTAGCCGTGAAAGACCCAGAGAGGGCCCCACAGGGAGGGAGGGAAGGCTTGCAGGTGGCCGTGGCGTTGAACTGAGGAGTTCGTGGCAGAGGTCAGAGTGAGGCAGGACCCAGATCACACAGTGCCTTGCAGTGGGATGTGTGGCCTTGAGGATTTATTCCAGGTACAAGGGGAGGCCATCTTAACATTTTAGCCAGAGGGCAGTGTTGGGAAAATATAATTAAAAACAAAATCTCCCAACCCAGAAAAGCCTCTCCACGAAGGTAGTAGGGAAAGGAAAGTTTTGTTACTGACCTAGCACTAAGCCGGAATGTGGCGCGTTACGGGCAATTCGCTAAGCAGATGTGGCTCAATGCAAACGTGTATTCGAGATAATCAATAACCGGTCTTCAGTAAGAGGACTCGACAGCATCGTCTGTCACACGGTTCGTCCTGATGGATCTGGGCTGAATTGTGTCCCCCAAATTCCTATGTTGAAGCCCCAACCCCCAGAACCTCAGGATGTGACTGTATTTGGAGACGGGCTCTTTAGAGAGGTGATTAAGGTAAAATGAGGTCATACGAGTGGGACCGTCAATTAAAACAAATATTAACAAGGTCTATGCTTTGGAAAAGGAGAGCGTCATTCCTCAGGAAGGGCAGCAGCCTGCTGGGTGGCCTGTCTGTGCTTCATTGCCCTTCCGCCTTCTGCAGCGGGGCGACATTCCGCCAAGACCCCACCAGATGCTGGCGCCATGCTCTTGGACTTCTCAGCCTGCAGAACCGTGAGCCAAATAAACTTCTATTGTTTATAAATTACCCAGTCCGTGGCATTCTGTTATAGCAGCAGAAAATGGAGTGAGTCATTGGCCCTAGCAAACGAATACACTAACTTTACCTGGCAATGGGGTGACCATCTGTGTTAGCTAATTGGCTTTATCCAGAGGAAAAAAGCCTTGTCATATCTTTATGACAGGAGGTAACTTTGCAACTTGGCCAGATAAGCCCATGGGAAGTTCAGCTCCTACCCGCGCATAGGAACTGGGAGATGGGGGTGCTGTCTCCCTTGATAGCCACATTTCAAAGAGATGCCTCCCAGGCCCACAAGAAAGACATTTCTGGCTCTTAACGCTGACAAGAGCCTTATTTAGCTCCTAAAAAGATTTACACACATTTCAAAGAGATGAAGAAAGAACTTACAATGACGAGTTTTCCAAAGTAAGTGCTCTAAGACAAGGAAGGGGAAGGAAATATCTTTTCTCATTTTCAACAGGGATAATTAAGTCTCTTATTTTTAAAGTTTCATTTTGCCCTTACAGTGGTTTTTGTTTTAGGAGTATCATCTGGGTGCTCAGTGAAGAGCGAACCACGGGGAACAAGAGTAGAAGAAAGAAGACCACTTGGGAAGCTTTGGATGGTGCTCAGGCCAGGGGAGGGACGGTGAAAACGCAGAGTTGGACACATTTCGTGATAGCTGGAGGTGCTCCCCTGGGGCTTGCTGAGGTCTTGGCTGAGCAGGAAATCCAGGCGCTGAGGGTAATGCCTAGGTCTTGCTTTCACCATCTCTCTGGGGGTGATGCCACATCAGGGAACAATGGCTGAGAGAGGCTTAAAGAGTTCTTTGGGCACATAAGCAGTAAGTTCCTACTGAGAATCCAAGTTCACGGGTCAAGTAGGGAGTTGGAGCTGGAGACTAATTTGGGAGCAGCAGTTGGTGGGGAGAACTGACACATGGGGTCCAAGAGCCTGGCTGAGAGAGTGTTGGAAGGAGAGTGTGGTCAGACAAGGCGGGGCGGCGGCCGGGGGATGGTGGGAGGCCCCGGGGGGGGCCCCGAGGCTGTGGGATCCACCCGCTGGCCAAGAGGTCCTGGTCTGACAGGCGATGGAGGGTCACCTGGAGGGTCACCTGGACGGGCTGGGCTGGGGGAGGGAGGGACGTGCTCCTCGAGAACAGACAGCTGTCCAGGTGAGTCTTGCCGGGAAGGGGAGAAGAGAAATGAGGCCATCAGCGGAGGGAGGAGCCGGTTGTGAGTGTTCTGTTACCACTCAGCTATCTGGATAGCCGCTCAGTGAGTCACAGGCTCGCACAGAAACCCCCTGACCACACAAAACAGTTCCGTCTCTGCCCCTGCCACCCCCACTAGAGGGAAGGAAACACAGGTAACAGCTTAAGGGCTTTTCCGGTTGTATTTGGGTTTGGGGGTGCTTTAAATTAGGTGAAGCTGGGCATCACGCCTGTAGTCCCAGCACTTTGGGAGTCTGAGTTGGGAAGATCACTTGAGGCCAGGAGTTTGAGGCTGCAGTGAGCTATGATGACATCACTGCACTCCCGCCTCAGTGACAGAGTGAGACCTTGTCTCTAAAATAATAAATAAATAACTATTAATAACAAGTGTGAGGCGTAGTGAAGAGGAACGGCCACGGACAGCAGAGAGACTGAGGGTGCAGAAGAGGGAGGTCAGGAGCAGACACGGGGGCAGGGGCCAAGTGGAGGGTCGGCCTTTGCTGGGGGCAGAGACAGGGCAGGAGGGGGTGAGGCCTCAGACATGGCCAGGCCCACCCACTGGTGGCCTGGGGCTCTGTGCACGCACAGAGCAAGCTCAGGCCAAGTGGCCTCTGCATGGAGGACGCAGCAGGCAGGTCCAGCCCCCGCAGGTCTCTCCCCTGCCTGGCCCAGGTTGAGCTGCTTCTTGGCTCCTACTCTGACCAGCCCCTGGGACCCACGCCCTGCTTCAGATGTCCCTCCCTGAACCCTGTCCTTGTTTCTCAGATCCCCGAGGTTACACCCAGGGCTGCTGCTGCCTAATGTAACAATGCAAAGCTGTCGGGGGCCCTGTGAGTCCCGGCGCTAACCTGGCTCCCGGTCCTCCCCACGCAGCACTCTGCGTCGCCCAGGGGCATCGTGCTGCCTACCCCGGAGGGACCCCTGCTCTAGAAGCCAAACCCAGTGTGAAAAAAGCTCGTCAGTCTCCTGTTTCTGAGCCACTTTATCAGGGAGGCTGAGACCCCAGGCCCAGAGTCTAAGACAAATGTCACCCGACACCATGGGCTCCTGGCACCAGGCCCTGTGGGCTGGGGAGAGGCTCTGGGTGGGTCACCAGGACCAAACTGGATGGGGAAAGAAGCCCCGTGTGCACATGTCGCCAACTTAGAAATCTTTATTGGTCTCTGTGTGTCTAGCAAGGGGCAGGAGGGACTTGAGCAGCGGATGCCGGGGGCCCTCTGGAGCTGAGTGTGCGCAGGTCCGCAGCGGGGTGAGCAGGTCTCTGAGGGGCAGGAGAGCAAGCCAGGGGTCTGCACTCTGGGGGAGCACACCCTAGGGGTCCAGGTGGAGCAGACCCCCTCAGTGCCAGGTCACCTGTGAGGAAGGACACAGAGCAGGCAGTGAGGCCCCAGGGCTGGCCCAGCCCTGTGCAGCCCTGGCTCCCCCCAGCCCCCTTTTCTCCCTCACCTTGGCCTGGCCCGGCGGGTATCTGGCTTTGAGGGCCTCCTCGCTCAGCAGAGACCTCACCAGGCAAGAGCGGCGGTGAGAGAAGGTCTCGAAGCTCTTCTTGCCATGGTAGGACCCCATGCCACTGTACCCTGTGGGTGGAGCCAGCTCAGGCCCAGGTGTCCTGCCCTCGGGACACCCAGGCCTCCCTCCCCGCCCTATCTGGGTGTACCCTGGAGTCCCAGCACCCACCCCAGGTTGGGCCTCCAGCCCTCGTGCCCCTTTTGTGAGCCTCCTGGGGGTGGCCCATCCCTGGAGTGTCCCCCAAGGTGTCCACACCAGGGACAACAGAGTGCCCGAAAGAGTCTAATCCCAGCTAGGCCCCTAAATGGCTGTGTGACCTCCTCCGTGAAAGGGCTGGCTGCCCCAGGTGACCTCTAGGACCCTCTGGGCTCCGGGGTCGAATATGGCTGGCGGATGTGCAGACGGAGACCAGAGGCCCAAACAGAAGATGTTGGTGGGAGCCGGAGGCCCGCTGCTCCGGCCGCTCCCGAATCCCTGAGGGGGTGTGCCCAGCCCTGGGGTGCCGCGAGGCGGTGGGTAGGCGTGAGCGCAGCCCAGACTCACCCACGCCCCCGAAGGGCAGCGTGTGCACCGTGATGTGCGCGATGACGTCATTGGCCGTCACCCCACCGCTTGACGTCTCTGCGATCATCTTCTTAATCACCTGCACAGAGACCCAGCCGCTGGCCTCAGTCTCCTACCCCCGGGACGCCCCAGGTCACCCTCCCCGCCCTGTCTGGGCGAGGCCTGGAGCTGCAAGGACACGCACTGGTGGAGGTGGCGACCGCGCGCTGTCTCCTGCCCTCCCGCAGGTCACGGTCCCCAGCTCCGCGTGAGGAACGCATGACAGCGACCGCCCCGGCTGCGTGTGAGGAGCCCCTCGCTCGCACGCAGGTGATGCTGCTGTCCTGATCTTAGAGACACCGCGAAAGCGGCTCAGAAAGGTTCAGTGACGTGCCCAAGGCCACACCGCTGGTGAGCAGTAAACTCGGGTTTGAACTCAGGTCCGGGGCGCCCAGGCCCACCTTGTCGTTGTTGGAGAACACGTAGAGAGCCAGGGGCTTCTCGCGCTGGTTGATGAACTGCACGGCCTCCTCCAGGCCGCACACGCACACGATGGGCAGCACGGGCCCGAAGATCTCCTCCTGCATCACCGGGGCCTGGGGGTCCACGTCCGTGAGGATGGTGGGGGCTGCGGCAGCACACGAGCGGTCATCCGCGCTGCCGCCGGCAAAGGCAAGCACCGGGACTCCTGCCCGAACCCCCGCCAGAGGAAGCCGCCCGCGCAGAGAGGGCGGGGTCGCCGGGAGCTCTTCCCACGGCCCCCACCACGTCCTGCTCCATCCTGGCAGACCACAGGGGACAACTATGGTTAACCTGTACTGGGGGGACCCCAGGTCTGCCTCCAGGGGCCAGGCGCTGCACCTGCCGGCCACCTGAGCCCCTGCCAGAGCTCTTCTGTCTTGACAAACTGGGGGCCACAAGGGCCCGTCTGGTGACCCACCTGCCTGGGGCACTGGTGGCCCCTCACACTCAGCACACCTGGGGCCCCTGTGGCCTCTGCCATTCCACCTCCTGCTACTGCTGCAGGGTGGGGGACGATGAAGCCCCTGTGTCTCTGGACGTTGTGGGGAGAGGGGCTTCCTGGAGCTGTGCTTGGCCCCTGCCTGCTGAAGGCCCAGGGTTTATGAAAGCGACTTATGCCACCATGCGGTTACAGCTGTTATCGAGTATCTGTATCCACTTGCTGAAAACTTGAGGGGCCCCCGGTAGCCCAGGCAGGTGGATGGTGCTCTTTGTGGGGGGCACACACCTATGTAGCGGGTGGCGGCGTCCCCGGTGCCCCCGAGGGCCACCTTCTGGCCCTCTATCAGGGCCATCACACGCTGGAAGTGCCGGGCGTTGATGATTCTTCCGTAGTCCCGGGACTTCCTGGCATCTTCCCCATAGAACTCCTGTGGAGGAGAGGCAGGGCTCTGGGTGAGGACGTGGACCCTCGGCACAGCAAAGGCCACACAGATATGCCTCAGCAGTGACTGGGTGCGGGGTTCTGGGTGGAACTTTTCTCTTCTTCTCTATGCTCTTTACTCTTTTCCAAATTACCTACAGTGAATGTGCATTAATTACTTTTATGCTCAGAAGGAAAGAAATACGGGGTTTCTGAAAGCCCTAGAAGCCAATCGAGGTGCCTCGCCCACCTTGTGCCTTACAGCTCCTCGCTCCACCCTCCCCGCCCTCAGGGCCAACACTCACTTTCAGTGACTTTTTGAGCTTCTCCACAATTTGGTTCTGGATCGAGGGGTCACAGAGGATGTAGTCAGGGGCCACGCAGGTCTGGCCACTATTCATGAATTTCCCCCAGGCAACACGTCTGTGAAAATCCCAGACCGGACTGAGTCCAAAAGGCTCAGGGAGTTCCCTGAGAACACGCTTCTCACTCTGTGCACTCAGGGCCAGGTGCAGTGGCCTTAGCCCTGGAGGGGAGCTCGCGGGTCTGCAGAAGCCACAGGCTGTGACTTTGCCACCAGTGAGTCCGCCTTAGTGGCCCACTCACTTCTCAACACTGGAGCAGACCCAATGCCCCAACCAGGGTCACGGCCGTCCTCGCCTCACTGGTGACTGGTGGGGAATTTCTAGAGGATGTTAAGGGTGGGTGGCCTTTGTGCCTCTCTGATCATGCTCCTAGAGCCCTGCAGGGCCAGGTGTCACTGTTACTCTCGGTCCCGCTGCATCTCTGGGGGCTGTACGTGTGGATATGGGGTGGCTGGAGCTCTGGCTAGGGTCAGAAAGTGTAGATATGAGTCCTGCCGCAGACCCTGAGCAGTGGTGGCCCTTCACCCCCCTGGTCCTGTCCTCCAGATCTCAGATCACCCTGTCCTGGCGGAGGGCTGGGCCCGGTAAAGTTCTCCGTGTCCTGAACGTCCCACGATTGCTTTCCCTGCCGCCTCTGCTTGCAGCGCCGTGTCCCTGGGGATGCTCCGCGGTGGGCAGAGCTCAGCCTGGACCCCCCTCCAGAAAGCTTCCCGGGCTCCCCATGTCTCTTCTGTGCACATGGTCCCCGCAAGGCAGTGTGCTACTGTCCATGCTACTGAGAGCGGAACCACAGCCTGAGGCGCGGTCCCTGTGCTGGAAGGCAGACAAAGGGCTGCTGCCCGGACAGGCCCTCGCCCCCTCACCGGCAGGCCACGTCCAGATCGCAGTTCTTGTCCACGTAGCAGGGGCTCTTTCCCCCCAGCTCCAGCGTGACGGGGGTCAGGTGCTTGGCAGCTGCCGTCATGATTATCTTCCCCACTCCTGTGCCACCTGTGTACAGGATGTGGTCGAACCTCTCCTTGAGCACCTCCGTGGTCTCGGGAACACCCCCATTGATTACTGGGAACAGATCCTTTGACAAGGAGAGAGGGGAGGTTCAGCAAAGACCAGACCCCTCCTCGCTGCTGCAGGCCTGGGAGGACGCTGGGCCAGACAGGCAGTCCCACAGCCCCACAGCCTGGCACCCCTCCCAGACGGCCAGTGGCAAGTAGACTCCCTCTCCCAGCTCAGGGGCTCTAGTCACCCCAATGGGGAGGGCAGCTGCTAGGGGCCGTTCTCACCCCGTCCCATGTCTTGGCCCTTTGCTGCAAGAATTTGCTATTTCTCAACCCCTGAAGACTTGGCCCCCCACATAGTGATCCTTGAGCCCTGGAGGGTGCCTTACCTTGTCCAGGTACTGAGGGATGATGGTGGCCAGCAGGTTCGCCACATTCTCACTCAGCTCCGAGGGCTTGAGGACCACCGCGTTCCCTGTAGAGCACTCGGAGTCAGGCCTGTGCCCAGACTACCCCAGCCGAAGGCTCTGCCCTCCCAAGACTAAGTCTGGAGCCTCCCTTCCACCGTCTGTGACCTCGGAAGAGATGCTGGCACGTGAGCACATGCCACAGGAGCACACAGGCACACACGGGTGCATGCCATGGGAACACACACAGAGCACACACAGAGCACACCCAGGCACATGCTGGCCTGAGCTGCACCACCTGGCCCTGGAATCGCTGAGATGTTGGGGAAGAAAGAAGAAAGGGGAGAGGAGTTCTCAGGGTCTGGCTGGGAGAGCAGCGCTGGCCCCTCTTAGTAAGGACTCCCTGATATAGATTAGGGGGAGCAGCTGCTCCCACACAGACGGGCAGGGAGAGGCAGGACCCTCCTTGTCTTCAGGGTGGACACCTGCACCTGGCTGGACCTCGGGCACAGGGAGGCCTGGCTAAATAGTTTGGTCCCTGCAGCCTCCCATGACAGACCCATCAGTTGTTATCTGACCCTGGCCCCTCTTCCCACAGGCCTGAGCCCCTCCCGTGGGGGACGGTGCCCCTGACGGTTCTCCCCCTGGACCGGAGCCCACAGGACCTGCAGCGATGGCGCCCACCATGGGCTGGATGGTGAGGTTGAAGGGGTAGTTCCAGGCACCAATGATGAGGACCACGCCCAGGGGCTCCGAGTGGATGTAGGCCTCATCCTGCTGGGTCTGCGGGGTCTTCTCCACGGGCTCGTCCGCGGCCCACTCAGGGAGCTTCTCGATCATGTGGTCGATCTCCTCCAGGACGTACACCACCTCCTCGTAGTAGGAGTTCCACTCGTTCTGCAGCGAGGGGCAAGAGCAGGGAGTCCCCGGTGCTCAGCTGCTCAGGGAGGCCCAGGGTGGCGGGCAGCCAGGGAAGGCACCAGGCGGAGCAGAGCTGAGGATGAGCCATCGGGCCGGTGGGTCTGCGAGGCCCCCTTTCTGCCAGGCTGGGGCCCAGGCAGGTTTGCATGAGTCAGAGCCAGGCCTGGGCAGGGGTATCGATTTGAAAGTCACAGGCGAGCGGATGATTGTCTGGGAAAGCTTATGGACCAAAGTGAAACTGGGACCCAGGAAGGAGCCCTGAGACCACCTTGAAGAAGTGGGGACAGGGAAGAGGCTGCCCAAGAAAGTTAGGAGAAAAGCCAGGAGACCCTCAATGGGGGGAGGGTGGCAGTGGGCAGGAGACCACAGGCTGCTGGGCGCTCAGTGGAGAGCAGAGAGGAGGTGCAGATAGCGGATATGCATCTCTTTCTGGAACTTAACGGAAACTATAAAGTCAATGAGTGGGCTTTCTTTTCTTTCTTTTTTTATTTTTTAGAGACAGGATCTTGCTCTGTCACCCAGGCTGGAGTGCAGTAGTGTCATCATGGCTCACTGTAACCTCAAAGTCCTGCGCTCAAGCGATCCTTCTCCCTCAGCCTCCTGAGTAGCTGGGACTACAGGGGCGCGCCACCACACCCGGCTAATATTTAAATGTTCTGCACAGACCCGGTCTCACTGTGTTGCCTACGCTGGTCTCAAACTCCTGAAGGGATCCTCCCCTCCCACCTGGCCTTCTAAAGTGCTAGGATTACGGGGGTGAGGCCACCATGCCTGGCCAATTTTCTTGTATTTTGTTTTGTTTTGTTTTAAGATAAGAAGTCTTGGGAGATTTCTTTAAAAATGCAGGAGAAAGAGGGTATTGGTGGGGTCAGGCCCAAGTCAGCAGGGAGATGGGCTCCAACGCTCTAGACCCCCAGGGGCACTGTCCTGGGCAAGACACAGTGGGGAAGCAGGTGCAGGTGGGGTGGGGACGCAGTGGGGGCCTTTGTGAACCCAGAGGCTCTGATTTTGCTCAGGGCAGGGACGGAACTGCCCCTGTGAGGATGGGAAGGGAGGGAGGAGGCCAGTGCAGCGGGTGCCAAGCTATGCTGTTCCCTGGCGTGGAGAACCAAGCGGTCCTGCGCCGGCTGCGGTGAGGACTGAGGGGACCAGAGTGCAGGGCGTCGGGACAGCAAGAGAGAGTTGGAATGGTGGCCTCCTGCTGCAGGCTGGATGCAGAAGCTGGGCCAGGAGGGAACCGGGACACATGCAGACCTGAGCAGCCCGACCGAGGTGTGCGCGGGGTGCGGCGGGACCCAGGCGGAGAGGGCAATGCGCCTCATCTCCGGGCCGATGGGCTGGGTGAGTTCTTTGGCCTTTCCGAGCCGCGCTCCCCCTCTGTCACAAGGGGGGACAGTGCGCCCGCCGTGGTCCCATCGGCCTGCTGTCCCCACCACGCGCGGCCGCCCTGCAGGGGCACCTTGTGGAGGTCCGCGGCCAGCGCGCCCGCGATGTCCTGCCGGCGCTCCTGGGTCATGCGCCGCAACGCCTCCAGCTGCTGCACCCGGAACTGCAGCGGGCGGGTCCTGCCGGACGCGAAGGCCGCCCGGGCCCGCTGCACCGCATCGCCGATCTTGCTCATGGTACCTAGGGAGAGAGGGCACCTTGTAGCAGCCAGGGCAGGACCAGCACCCCCAGCCGGAGCTGCGCCCTGGCTCCAGCCCTGTCGCAGGCCCCTGGGCACTGGCTCGCGGCCACTGCTCTCCACCGCCTGGTATCATAGGAAGGGGAAGACCTCCCCCGGAGCCAGGCTGGGCCCCGCAACAGCAAACTTCCCGCTTCTTGCCTTCTCATCAGCTCCCTAACTCAGCCATCTATCTGGGCCCTTCTGGCTGTCGCGACAGGCCCCTGGGTGGATGACACTCCTTGCAGTGAGGCCATCCCCAGCTGGTGGTGGCTTCCTAGCAGTGCGCTGGGGGCAGGGCCTTTCCTGGCCTCTATCCAGTCCCACTCCGCCTCTACCTGCTTGCAAAGCTGGTGACACTCCCAGGCAAGCACTCCCAGAGCTCTGCACACCCAGCCAGCCACTCTCCAGATTATATGGGAGGAACACAGGTCAGGGCGCCACACCTGTGCTGACAAAAGAAAACCTGGCACAGACTTCTGGCTCAGCCATTGTTCCCCAAAGCGCTGGGCACTCGGCACAGCAGAAGTAGGCCTAGTGTTTAGACAGCGTGTGCCACACCTGTGAGACGCACACCAAAGTTTCGCGGAGCTTCACAGTTCCAGGTGCAAGCGTGGAGGCGAGTCCTGCTACCACCACAAGAAACCACACTGGCAAATTGGGGCAGCCCTTCTGGGCGCAATTTGGCACTATCTAGCAAAAGCCTTTCCAACATATTTCTCTGTGACACAGAAGGTCCACGTTCAGGAGTTTGCAGTGACTACAGCGTTCCTTAACCTTCATGAGTAAAAGTCATGACAGTTTGTGTGTAAGAGGGGACACTGGAACACCCTAAAGGCCCGTCAGGAGGAGACAGTTGGAGCGGACCCTGCTGCACCCGTGCGACGGGCTGTGCGGTGTCCAGCCCGGAGACGGAGCAAGTTACTCAGCGTGTTCCTAATGGCCCTGTCTACACCGGCTGTGTCCTGGGCACCAGGTGTTAGGCTTGTGTGTGCGTGTGTGTGGGTGTGTATGTGCGTGTGCTCACGCATGCAAGAAAGGACCAGAAGGGTAGCCCCCAACATGATGGGAACATTGGTGGGGCGGAGTTATTGGTGATCTTTGCTTTTATCTGGTGGAGTGTTGGACTTTCTTGCAATGAACTTGTATTTTTTAAATGTTTGTTGCGTTTTTGAATAGGCAATACATGCTCATGGAACAAAATTATAAAAGATACAAAAGGGAACAAAGAGAAAAGTCTCCCTCTTCCCTTCTCTGCAGGGAAGCCACTACGACCAGTTCCTTACTCCCAGAGATACCAAACCACTTGCAGGTATGGCATAACTTTTAACATCAGGGAAAATACAAGGCTATTTCCATTTTGCAAAAAAAAAAAAAAAAAAAACCCTATATATATAACACATGATTATGTCATAGATAGATACAGCTAAGGATGTTGATCCTGCTCGAGTTCCAGCAAATGGCTCTGAGCCTTGGATGGCCTCCCCGACCCAGTGCTGACCCCAGCCCCAGCCCTGGCTTTCTGCATGGGCAGGGGAACCCGCTGGTATCCAGGGTGCCCCAAGCCTGGCGGGCCATGGCCCCCTCCCTAGGATGGTGGGAGGCTGGGGGTCCCTCAATGGAACTCCCTGGCCCTGAGGACCAGGCCCCTCCCCCTGACCACCACCCAAGCCATACAGCCCCGCAGGAAGGCCCCTCCTATGGTCGAACCAGGACAACAGCCTCAGTTACCTGCCACCACCAGCCACCAAGGCAGGCGGCCCAGGTGGGAGGAGACCGACGTGAGTGAGTGGGGGCTGGGCTCAACCCCCAGCATCACCACTCAGAGCCGCGGTCTCTGGGAAGGACAGCCGCCCCGGGCCTCTTCTGTGAAACAGGGCTACCTACAATGCCCCGCCATGGAGTCATCACACAGTCTCACGGACACACAGAACATCTCACGTGGCGCCTGGCTCCGGAATGGGACTTTTCTCCAAAAGCCAGTGGCCCTCACCCTGCACCGCTAAGCCCACTCCCCTCGCCTGTGCCAACTCTGCTGCTGTCCCGGGCATGTCCCCTGAGCCCCCATCACCCCTTCCGTGCTCGCAGAGACTCTGGTGGCGCTGGCGAAGAAGGGACAGTTGTGAGTGCATTTTACAGATGAGGAAAGTGAGCCTGAAAAACGTTGAATGCCCTGTTTTTGGTCTCACGGTTGGCAAGTGGCAAGTCAGGGGCCACGCTGAGCCATCTCTGCTGTCCCTAGGTGCATGGAGGAGGCCGCCAGCACATCTAGGCTCTCGCCCGACGGCCACTGCGGTGCCCCTGCTCCACGGACCTGGGGACCTCCTGGAGCTGGGGACAGCAGAGCTGCCAGAGACCCAGGCCCCCAGAGAAGGCAGAGGACGCTTGGCCCTTAGGGCCTCCGCTCCGAGTGCCAGCTCCACCCAGATATTCCTTGCAAGGAAAAAAATCTAAGGGTCGCGGAGGGGAGAAGATTACCTTTGACGCAGCCTCTCCCAGTGGCTGGAGCTCCTGGAATGAGCTCGAGCCAAGGGGGGACTTATTTAAGGACCCTCCTTCCTGCCGAGTCAGCCCTTGGAGTCCCTGCCCAGGAAGTTTGCGTGACAAGAAAAAAACAATATGCAAATGCGGGGCGTAGCATAATCCGGCCCTCTGCTCCCTGCAGCCCTGGCTTTGGGGATTAGGTCCCGGTTGTCTGCTTTTGTTCTACTCTGAAGTGCAAGGACGTGTGTGAAGCTGGGACGGGGCTCAAGGCCAGTCTTCAAAGCAGCTGGGCGTTTGCCCTGGGCATGGGGCCGCGATTGCTCTGGCCTGGCGCGGAGCCCTGCCAGACTGCCACAGCGCCCTTGCCAGGCACTGCTCTCCCGCTCCCTGGTTACATAAGGTCAGCAGCGGGTGAGCCACGAGTCACAGAGAGTGTGCACACAGCTCCCTGGACACACACGACGGCCACCGCTGCACCTGTTCACGCCCTGCTCAGCCTCCCCCAGCCCTGTGCACAGGCGCAAGGGCCTCATTGAGGCCGAGACCCCAACCCTGGGGAGCCACAGGCTGGGGACTTCCTACAAGGTCCCCACTGATGTGGGGGTCTGCCCTCTTGTTGAGTAGCAGGGTAGGGGGCCCCGCCCAGTGAGAACTGCAGGAAGCTCCCTCTGCGTGGGAGATGCTTGGGAAGGGAGGAATCCAGAAGGCCCCTTCCTCTGCTGTTTGACAGATGTTTGCTGGGCTCTGCTCCGTGCCACTCCGTGGGGACGAGGCAGACATGGTCACTCCTCACACCTCTAGCGCTACCGTGGACTCTGCCCCTTCCTGTCAGATGCTTCCTGCCCCCTCCCTGCCTGCAGGCTGTTCTCCCCGCATCAGGTGTCCTTGCCTCCCATTTCACACAGGGTCCCTGCAAGATGTGCTCTTGCCCTCCCACCTCTCTCGCCTGGAACGCCCTTCCCCATCTAGCCACCCACATGGCTGTGCTCGAATGTGACATGTGAAATAGCATCACTCTGTCCTCTTCCTCCACTGTTTCTTCTCCAGAGCATTTATATATATATATCCCTGTGGCATGCTACCTGTCTACTTATGCTGTTTCCTACCTATCCCTTTGCCTGTGCCAGCTAGAATTTGACTTATTCACTGCTGAAACCTCCAGCACCTGGAATAGTGGCTGGCACATAGTAGATGCTCAATAAATATTTATTGAATGATGGAATAAACAGAAAATTTCAAAATAATATGAAACGGTAGTGCCCAGGGTATGCAGAGGATGCCAGAGGGGCTCAGACAAGTCTGAGTCCCATGGGAGGGAACGTCGTCTGAGCTGAGTGAGAGGTATTCGGGCAACGAACAGCAAAAGCAGAGGCAGAGAGGCAGGAAACAGAGCAGTGTGTCCGCTGCAGTTTGTCGCTGATGGGTGTGACTTGTACGCTGTCACAGCAGGAGGCAGATGAAGGATGCCCTGGGAGGCCTGTGGGCAGGGCCGGGCTGGGGGTGGGAGGCACTGAGGGGCATAGCAGACAGACACACGTCTGATATGTTCATTTTGGAGAGTCCCCGTGGACAGCGTGCAGGGTTAAAGAGGTCTAGATTGAAAGCCGCAGCTTCTAGCAACGCAGGCAAGAAATCATGAGACCCCAAGCAAGACTGACAGAAAGGGAAACATTCCAGAAACAGTAGAAGGAAACATCAGCGGGACCTAGTGCCTGGGGTGCCTGGACTGGGGGTGGGCTCAAAGTGGGGCACCCCCGGACATAGGGAAGACCAGGGGATGGACCAGGCCTGTGGTGCCAGTCTCTCCCCGTGTCTGCCGGCGGCATCTGATTCTCTTGCAGGTGACCCCTTCCCCTCTGCTTGAAGGCTTGGTGAGGTGGCCAACTGGGCATCCTGCTCCAGGCTAGCCAGGGGTGGGGTGGCCCCCAAGGCCTCCCCGATTCTCCCGAAACGTGGACCTAGGAGGTGAGGGCCGCAGGCGAGGCCAGAGGCCTGCGAGCTGATTCATCGGGACGGCGGCTTCAGATGGCCCTCCCCAAGGAGAGGCGTGGGGACAGCAGCGGGTGGTCATGGCCAGGACAGGGCCTGGCCTGCTGAGCGCTGTGGCAAGGGCAGGTGGCCTGGCTCTTGTGACAGCAGCATCAGTGGCGGGAACACCAGAGCAAGGAGCCTGCACAGTTTAAACCCATGGAGAACAAAATCTTGGTTTGTTTGTTTTGGTTTGGGGTCAAAGTTTCAGTTCTGGCTCCAGCTTGGGTTGGGGCAGAAACCCTTGCAGATCTGTGCTTGTCAGATTCTCCTCTTCGCAAGCCCTGGTGCTGCGCCCCCGGCCTCCCCCACGTCAGGGCTGCCCTCTCTCTCCTGTCATCACACCTGCCTGCTCTCCCTGAGTCCAGACTTAACTCCCCATCAGACCTTCTCCCAGTGGCTGCCCGAGAGACCTGAGGACGACGAAGCTCTGAGCATGTCTCCCCCCGAATTAACACCCTCCAGTGGCTCCCTACTGCTCTTAGGAAAAACCTCCTGTGGCATTGATCTCGGCATGGCCTGGCTCCTGGCTGCCTGGCCAGCCTCACTTGGTAGCACTTCCCACCATTTCTACTGACTTCCAGTCCTCCAGCACTCCTTGAATGAGCCAGGTGCTTTCCTACCCCAGGGCCTTTGCATGTGACATTCTCTACCCTGGACACTTTCTCTTCTACTCTGTGTCCAGCTAATTCTTACTCATGTTCAGATCCCAGCTTCCCTGACCCCTCCCTCCCCCTACATAATACCTTCCTTACTTCCAGGAACCTGGCACAACATGCAATCATATGTTTGATTTCCTTTTCTCCTTGTCCCCACCCCCACGCCCCAGGGACTGGAATAGCTGCAAAGGCAGTGATCTCGGCTTCTGTCCAGTACCATATCCCAGCCCTTAGCACGGTGCCTGGCACGAGGGAGACCTCTGAAGATATGGAAACAGCCCGATGTGCCACGCGTGGGGCGGGGTGAGGTCCAAGCGAAGACCAAGAGAAACGATCAATCATTTAGCAGGGTGATTATCCACAAGTTCACCTAAAACTAGCAAAAAAGTATTAATTGAATGAGTGGAAAGTAAGTTTGCTTAAGACTGCGCGTGCGGAGCGCCTGGCGCTCAGCGGCTGGGCCTTGCTCCTGCCCTGCGGCGGCGACTCAGGTCAGCAGCAGGAGGGAAGCCACTGTCATAGGGGCCTGGGTACACCCAAGTAGCAGAGGTGAACTTTGAGGCGAGTTAGAAAAGTCCCTTGGGCCGGGCGCGGTGGCTCACACCTGTAATCCTAGCACTCTGGGAGGCCGAGGCGGGCGGATTGTTTGAGCTCAGGAGTTCGAGACCAGCCTGAGCAAGAGCGAGACCCCGTCTCTACTAAAAATAGAAAGAAATTAATCGGCCAACTAAAAATATATAGAAAAAATTAGCTGGGCATGGTGGCGCATGCCTGTAGTCCCATCTACTCGGGAGGCTGAGGCAGGAGGATCGCTTGAGCCCAGGAGTTTGAGGTTGCTGTGAGCTAGGCTGACGCCATGGCACTCACTCTAGCCCGGGCCAAAGAGTGAGACTCTGTCTCAAAAAAAAAAAAAAAGAAAGAAAAGTCCCTTGGAATTAGAATGAACGAAGCTTGTGACGAGATCCTGATCCCGAAACTTGAAAGTGTAAGTTAAACGGGAAAAGCCACGTGCAGCTCCTCTGGTGAGGAGACAGAGGCCGTCTGTGAGCATGTGATGGAGACATTCGGGGACACCCAGAACACAGCCAAGACGGAACTGTCTCCCAGCGCGGTCTGGCAGGCCACCTAGTAAGTCGAAACTTAGTTGTCACTGTTCGGAGACAAGCCGCATGACCAGGAAGGGCTGCCAGCCCAGACAAGCCCCTGCTGAGGCCAGTGTGGACAGAGCCCATCACAGAGCTGTGGTTAAGTGGGTGGCCACCTTGGCCAGGTGCCCCTTTGCTGTGGGTGAGGCCTCGGCTCCTTCTCACGCCCACCAAGCCACTCGGGTGCCCTGGCTGCCCCAGCCATTTGCAAATACGGAAGAGGGTGCTTTGGGACCATTGGCTCGGCCGCTATTCTTGCCATAGCAAAACAGTCACAGGTGCTGGCAAGGATGTGGAGAAGGTGGCAGCCACCCGCATGGCCGGTAGGAATGTAAAATGGTACAACCCTTTGGAAAACAGTGTGGCAGTTCCTCAAAGAGTTACATGTAGAGTTCCCACGTGACCCAACAATTCCATTACTAAGCATATGCCCAAGAGAAATGAAAATACATGACCACAAGAAAACTCACACACAAATGTCTGTGGCAGCGTTATTCATAATAGCCAAAAGCGGAAACAATCCAAGGTCCACGAATTGCTGGATAAGCAAAACGTGGCATATCCATGCCGTGGACTGTTATTCAGCCGTAAGAGGGAATGACGTATTGATTCATGCTCCGACATGCATGAGCCTCGACAACATTATGCTAAGTGAGAGAAACCAGACACACAAATTCGCATATCAGTCCGTTTATATGAAATGTCCAGAAAAGGTGAATCCATAGAGACAGAAAATAAATTGGTCGTTTCCAGGCCCTAGGGAGACAGAGACCGGGGATGGGGAGTGACTGCTAATGGGACGGGGTTTCTTTTAGGGAAGAAGAGAAGGTTTAAAAATAGATTGTGGCAGTGGTCGCACAAAAAACTAAAAAAAAAAAAAAAAAAACCTTTGAATCGCACACTTTAAATAGGTAAATTGTACATTGTGTGTATTATAGCTCCGTAAAGCTATTTGAAATTTTACTTTATAGTCAGTGTCTTCATTCTAAGAAAATAGAAAATGAATTTAAAATTCTTTTGGAACATCCAAATAATTTATGTGGCTGCCCCGCCCTCCAGGAAGTGCACTGCAGCAGCGCTCCTACTCCCTAAGTGTGCGCACCACCCAGCCACGTCCTTCCGAAGAGGACAGTGTGGACGAGGCTGGGGGAGTAACTATTTGGTGGAGAAGCCTGGCAAACATGGCCTCACCCAGGTGACCAGGTCCACATCAACAGTGACAAGTCGTGCTGACCACAGGGAGCCGTGATACCATGTGGTACAGACTGCACTTTACCTCTCTGGTCTTGCTCCCAAGACCCTAACCCCGGTCCGATTGTGAAAAAAATCACGTGACCC